ACACACACACACACACACACACACACACACACACACACACACACACACACACACACACAGAGGCTCAGTCTTTGACATAAAAAAATTGAATAGAATATTTATCGTGAAAGCCTACGTTTATTACAAATTAATCTCACTCAGTTGTTTTTCTAATTACGGAAAATTGTCTGGATCTAGAATAAAAGAAATTGTGTGCAAAATAAGTATAGTTTATCTGATCGCGCTTCGTTTTTGTACATGTAAATGTAATGCAAAGTTAGTAGCGATAACTGGAGCATCCCATAATGTTCGAACTTGAAGATCACGGAAATTATGGAAATTCGAACGGCATAGGTGCATCGAGCGTGACCAATATTTCTGACAGTTTCCAGCTTCCAGTTAGACGAGTCGTAACCATTCCGAATCACTATAGCTATCACAATGTTTGAACGCGCGTTATGTACACACGTTACACCGATGCATTTCGATAGCGAGTTTCAAGCTACACGCTTACCTTCTACATCAAAAAGTTCCGTTTCTCACGCGCAATGACAGTTCTACTGTCGCAACGTTAATTTTCGACGCTTTGTGCTTACACGTGTACAAAATGTCATTGTAGCGTGTTAATTGCTACGATAATCTACGTCTTGTAACGCGAAACGTACGTTTTGAATTTGGATCAAAATTTGTAAAAGGGTCGATGAAAAATTGTCCAAATACCGAATATTACGCAATGATGTTGCAATCTAAATTCACGACAAATAACAAACGTCGGGACAATATTCCGCCGGATTGTCCCGGCAAAATATATATTTTTGCAAGTAATCTTCATATGTATATATGCATGTTAAAATTTGTTAAAAAACCTACTAGTGCCAACATTGTATGAAAATTGAGCTCGAATTCATATTTCAACGAAAAAAACGGCTTTTGCCGCGCGTATCGTGCGTCAATCAAAACTTGGAAAATTGCGTGTAAACTGCAGAAAGATATATGTGTACATACGCAGAACCTGTGAAATGCTACTCTTAGGAAGTTGCGATATAATTAATTCTCCAGCGCAAAGTTTACGACAAGTTTAATCTATCCATTGTACACGTCTATTATACATCGCGATGTATAAGACGAAGACGATCTCTATTCCCCTTTGTCTTAATCTACCCCTTCAGTGAATAGAAAGCGCATACGAATAATCCGCGTATCGATCCAAGCGAGAGCAATAATGATTCCTAAATATGGATAACATGTATCTTATCGTAAATAATAATGGCACTGACGTAGATAGATAACCGATGCACGCTCTTATCCGTATTTCGCTGTCGATACAATGATAAACTATACAACGATAACGACAAAATAATACGT